AGCAGATCTCCTACTTGCTTCCAAATCCTCACCAGAGCATCCTTTATGAGGATTTGGGTTTCTGGGACTATTGCTACACATAGATTGCTAATTCCGCGTGCAGATACAAAAGGTTTGACCTTCAACACCTAAACCTTTCTTACTCAGTAACTGTTCATCTGACTCGCCGAGTTTGAAGAACAACTCGCCGGGTACTAGACAATCTTCATAGGACTCGTCGATTTGTTCACCAACTCGTTGAGTTCCACTTTGGGACTCGCTGAGTCGCTTGACCCGTTTCCCATATCTACTAAATATGAGACATGCAACGCTTCAAAACCATAGATCTATGTTCCTAGGGCATGCTTATCACGTAAAGTTGCAAACTTTACATGCATGTATGGCCCTACAAGCTCCAAAAGGCAAATCCAAGCTCTTTATGAGGTCATACACCCAATGGGGACTTCAATCACTTCAACCACATAAACTTTAGGATTCTAATACATCCACAAGGTCTAGGTCTGAAGTCCTTTCGGATCATTAAGCACAAACACATGGAGTTTGGTGTTTTAGGGCTTGAAAACCACCAATTTAGGGCAAAAATGGTATCTAATGACCTAGTGATCAAGGTAGGAACTTTTCTACCTGAATGGAAGCTTCCCACAGTGTAGATTTCTGATCTACTCCCCTCCTTGCACTCTTCAACCTCCTCCTTCTTCTTATAAGCTCCAAACTTCCTTCACCAAGAAAAAATCACTCACAAGAACAATATGGGGGCTAGGGTCTCTCACTACAGCTCTCTGGAAGTGTTTGGGACAAGGGAGGCCGAGTTAGTGTGCTTAAATAGGGTGCCAACACTTGGGTTAGGGTTTTTGCCCAAACAGGGCCTACTCACCGAGTCGGGGGAGCCGACTCGTTGAGTCCGACGCTCAGACCCCGCGTCTCATCCCGCTCCTACTCGGCGAGTTGGTCCTTCAACTCGCCGAGTTCAAGGAAAAATGAATGAATTTAAGGATTATTAATTACAAGAAGTACGTATCGGGAACCAGGTACTACAGTATGTGTGTGATTATTTTGAGTGTGTATGTTTATTTTGGGTTATTTTATTGTAAAGTTGTAATAGTGGCTAGAATAATGAAAAGAAAACTCAAAACCGCCACCGTGAGGTGGTGGCAGCCGCCACTAGCTGCTGTGTTGGGTGGCGGTGTGCTTGTTGTGTTTTGATTCGTTGGGATGTTTCGACAAATGGACTAAAATCCTAATGGGCCTAATAAACCCTGATTTATATAAGGACTTGGTATTGGGCCTATTGGGTTGGAAACCCTAATTAGGGTTTAGAAAACCCTAATTTTAGATATATGGGCCTTGGACTTATCGGGACCCACATTTGGGCAATTGGAATGGAATTGTGAATTACACCCAATCACACCATATGATTTATTTAGAAGAGTGATGGACCTAATGGATTAAGTCCTTAACGGGGTTAAGTGAGAAACACTTACCCTAATTGTTATTTTATGTGAAACCTTAATTTCACTTGGGCTTTATGTTGGCCTTTCTATTGGGCTTTAGTGATTAGGCCAATATTAGGCCATCCAAGAATAATTAGATGGACTAAAATAATTTAATGGGTTTTAGGGTAAGGCCCATGTAAGGGGTTTGAGGCCTAATTTGGAAAATTAGGCCATAGATGGGCCATAATTGGCCCTTCATGATTATGAGATACTCGGCCATTAGAAATGCCAGATTTTGGAATGGACTAAATGGTTGGGCCTTTGAATAAGACCATGTAAAGGTTTGGGCCCAATTTGGAAAATTAGGGCCGTATGTTGGGCTTTGATTCATAGTTTAACTTTTGGGCCTTAAGTTGAATCAAGCTAAGATAGGGGTAAGCAGTTTTTTACCCCAAGCATGGACTTATGATTTTTTTGTTGGAACCCAATTATTAATTGGGTATTATTTGATGTTGACAGTTTGGGAATTTATCATCCATAAGCTAGAGTTTTATTCGCGGGACTTCAATAGTGCCAGGTGAGTCTCCTCACAATCCCAATGGGTCTAAGGCACCAAGGCCGACCCATTTTATGATATGTGGTACACTAGCTGAACCGACCGCCAGCTCAAGCTAAGATAGGGGTTAAGCAGTCTTTTACCCCAAGCTACCATTCGCCAACTCCTAGCCTCACCGGAACTGACGATCTCCGCCAATCCTTTGGGACGGTCGGGTTGTAACCCGATGCCACCCCCACTCCACCTTCCTTCCTTCGACATCCGGTTGCCGCCATGTGTATTCTTCCGATCGGACAAGGCCTCCGTCTGGTATATCGCTACCAAGCGCTACTCGTGACCCGATTGTCGGACCAACGCATGAGGCCGTGAACACTACAACTTCGCCATCGAAACACTGCTATTCCCCTTCTGTTCGTCGGTGCTACGTCTTATCTTTGGTGGCGTCGCCGCCACCCGTTTTCTTTGAAGACAAGTCATCGCCGGTTTGTGTGTGTTCGACTCGCGTATGTCGACGTGTTTGCTGGGTAGTGGAACAAAAGAATCCACCACCACCACCGTGAGGTGGTGGCTGTCATTGTAAACCACCGGTGATTGCTCCTGCTGTTCGCCATTTCATGCCATCACTGCCGCCAGACATCACCAGGTGGGTAGCTGGATCTATTTCACAAACTGCTATCAGAAGTGTGTGTATGTTTGTTTTTTCTAGCCAAAAAACCAAGAAAACGCCACAACCACCACCTACCACCACCGGCCACCATAATGGTGGTTGTGTGTGTGTGATTATTTTGAGTGTGTGTGTTTATTTTGGGTTATTTCATTGTAAAATTATAATAGTGGCTAGAATAATGAAAAGAAAACTCAAAACCACCACCGTGAGGTGGTGGGTGCCACCTCCTGCCGCCACCAGCCGTTGTGTTGGGTGGCGGTGTGCTTGTTGTGTTTTGATTTGTTGGGAGGTTTGGACAAATGGACTAAAACTCTAATGGGCCTAATAAACCCTGATTGATATAAGGACTTGGTATCAGGCCTATTGGGTTGGGATTGGGTTGGAAAGCCTAATTAGGGTTTAGAAAACCCTAATTTTGGATATATGGGACTTGGACTTATCGGGACCCACATTTGGACTATTGGAATGGAATTGCGAATTACACCCAATCACACCATATGATTTATTTAGAAGAGTGATAGACTTAATGGATTAAGTCCTTAACGGGGTTAAGTGAGAAACACTTAACCCTAAGTGTCATTTTATGAGAAACCCTAATTTCACTTGGGCTTTATGTTGGGCCTTTTTTTTGGGCTTTGGTGATTAGGCCAATATTAGACCATCCAAGAACAATCATATGGACTAGAATAATTTAATGGGCTTTAGGGTAAGGCCCATGTAAGGGGTTTGGGGCCTAATTTGGAAAATTAGGCCATAGATGGGCCATAATTGTGCCTTCATGATTATGTGATATAGGGCCATTAGAAATGCCAAATAATTTGGAATATTGGGCCATATATTGGGCTTTGATTCATAGTTTAACTTTTGGGCCTTGAGTTGAATCAAGCTAAGATAGGGGTTAAACAGTCTTTTACCCCAAACATGGACTTATGATTTTTGTGTTGGAACCCAATTATTAATTGAGTATTGTTTGATGTTGACAGTTTGGGAATCTGTCATCCATCGGCTAGAGTTTTATTAGCGAGACTTCAACAGTGCTAGACTTTTATTCGCGGGACTTCAACAGTGCATTATACAGTTGTTATAGCATTACCTTGAAATATAATGTCAAACACCTTCAACAAGTTATATAAAACACCAAACACCTTCATAACACTAGAAATTGTACCGAAATCATGAGAAAGATTAATGAAATCCGTGCCAGGGGAGAAAAACAAATCACAAATTCTGTAAAAAAAAAAGAGTAGGATAAAACCTTGATCAATCACTTGTGCAATTCCTCTCCAAATTCTTTTAATATCGTGATATGGGTTCAAGTCTCCATGGACTTGAATTTGAGCATGATCCAGACTCAGATTGCCAAGATACTTCATTTAAAAGTGGAAGCAGGAGACACCACTCACAATTTAACCAACAGAATTCTTCGAAAGACTAAAGATGAGGGTGGAAGCTACCATAATGAATATCCTTTTAGTCCTTGATGATGTTTGGAAAAAGATTGACTTAGATGTTGTATGAATTCCTTCAAGGAATTCCTGCTGTAAGATCCTCTTAACCACTCGATCTTTCGATGTCTGTAGGGACATGTATGTTGATGTTCATTTTCAGTTAAATCTCATGAGTGAAGATGATGCTTGGAATCTTTTCGTTCAAAGTATTGGATCTGTGGGGAAAGAAGACGTCGGCGACAACAGTAGCAATGAGGAAGGAGGAGGACGTTGATTACTTTTTGTACATACAATATTTATTGAAAATATTTGAACCAAATTATATATATATATATATATATATATATATATATATATATATATATATATATATATATATAATCTAATGCACGTAAGCATGGTCATTCGCGCATCTTAAAAAGTCATACTAATGTACAATTATGTCATGTGTATTTGTAAAGTGTCGTAACAGATATGAATAAGAATCTTCTACCTAAAATCTAGTTAATTTTGGTTTGATGGGAATCTCATATCTATCACCAACTTTACAAGCTTTTCGAAGCCAAAGCAAACATAAATTAGAAACAACCTCCATGCGTGGCTTGTAGATCATAATTGCTAGATATTAGAGACTTGTTTCGTATTTCTTTAACTTTATTTAAAAAATAATAATATATTTTTCATTTCAAAATATTCCAACATATTCTTGGTCGGAATTAGCATATGTACGAAACCAAATACAAACTTAGGTGAATAATTTGTTCTGATACTAGGATGGCTTTAATATAACTTGCATATTTAAATATCTTTTAGGTAGTGCATTGTAGATTCATGACTAGATTCATCACATAATTGACCCTAAAAAGGGAAGTAGCTGCTACATATAAAAAAGGAAGCTAAAAGGGATTAAGGGTAGTCAGCTGATCAAGAAGTCCAGTCACAGGCGTAGCAAGTCTAGGCTCGTAGACAAAGCCATTCAACTCGACGCCTCCACCGCCGCCGCTAACATAAGGGCACGGAGGAATCCAAACCCACCTCTTCTTCCCAAAATCAAACAACAACGCCTTCTCCGCTGCCGTTCCCATAATCATCACCACCACAAACTCCCCGTTTCCAACACAAGTGAAACCTCTCCCTCCTTCCAACTCCGTAAACTGCGCATACAACTGCTGCGGCATCCTTTCTATCTCCACCCACGTTGTCCCGCAGCTCTGGAGTGCCCACATTCTTAGACTCCTCGGCACATTGAGCTTGCTCTTTTCCACCGCCGCTAGCAGCACAAGCTTCCCTTTGCTTTCAATCAGACTTGGAGACCTCAGAAACCTCCTCATAGGAGCCTGGATCTTACACCACTCGTTTCGCGACATATCGTACCCCAACACACTGAAAGGACTGTAGTTCATGCAGTAGAATTTCCCTGCTGAACCTCCTTGGTGCTGCACGTACACCATCCTGCCAGACTCCAGGCTACACAGCCTAGGGAGAGAAGAAGTGGTGCCCCAAATGGAATAAAAACCACCCATGTCTACGTGGAAGCTCTCCGTAGTCAAATTCTTGACGGCGTAAGGAGATATCATGTCGTCCCCTGCCACCATAACATCTATTGAAGAGTTTGTTATGGTTAACCCTACAGAAGGGAAAAGCCTAGGCCTCAAGGTGGAAGGAAGTGGAGTTACTAGAGATGTGAAGAGGGGGTTTGAAAGGAGCAGGCCTTTCGAACCTGCTTCATCAGACACCCAACAGATGAGTCCACCAGAGGAACACGTGGGAGAAAACCCCTGTGGGATTAATGGGAAAACGAGACGATGCCACGAAAGAGTTTCGGGATCAAAGATGTAACCCTCCTGAGGGACAACGTTATCGGCAGCGGTGGTGTTGGTGGTTTTAAAGGTGGTGGTGGTGGTTTTAGGATGAGTGGTTTTTTGTTTGAAGAAGATGAAAAAGTAGGGTTTTGGGTTGATCTGAAGATACATTTGAAGGAAGCTGTGAGAGAACAAGAGAGAGTACCATCTCTTGCATACAGATCGAGCTCTGAAGAACGCAGGTGGTGGCAAGAAGGCGATGACTCGATCAACAAGTCTTTGGGGGAGTTTACTCCATATCCTGCTGTCCATCCATGGAGAGATTGTGGTGGTAGTGGTGTTGGTGGTTGCGAAAGGATAAGAAAACGGAAAGGTGGTGACATAGTGGGTGTGATCAAAAGCTTCCATAGGAAAGTTATGGTTTTGGGAGGCAATTAATGAATTAGGAAAGTTAAGGTTGTTCTAAAGGGAGTGAGTGAGTGTGTGGTTCAAGTGCTTGTTGGTCTCAAATTCAGTGGAGATTATATAAAGAGAAGTAGTAGTAGTGATAGCGAAGAACTAAAGAGGAAATGAAGAAAAAGGCGTTAGGGTTTCCTCTATTTTCCGTCGTCTTCTTTAATGCAGTTGTGATTATATAGGAGCACCTGGACAGAAGTAAACATAGAGGAGTAGAAGCGAGAAGATGGAAAAAAGGGGTTGTCAGATGGTGAGTCTGATGGATGCATCTATCAATTCAGTGTTTTCATGTCAATGGCCGAGGAAGAAAGGACAAGTACTACAGAGTGGAGGAGGTGAATTGATTAGAAGATTGACAGTAAACACACGTCGGCTCTATACTTCTTCCTTACACACTTAATGTCAGGAGATTTGGGCTGGATACGTTCTTGGTAATTTAAATAAGGTATCTTCACAAAGGTTACCACGTTTTTTTGAATACTCTAAGAAATTTATATTTTTTCCATCTTAAAATTATTATCTGCAAGACAAAAAAAAACATACATACTAAGAAGAATTAGTTATCATTAACTTAAATAAATAAAATGATTATTTCATCATTTTTTGCATTTAATTAAATGGTAGGTGAATTAATAATAAAGGGTATTTTAATAAAATGAATTTTTATTTTTATAAGTAAGTTGTTATTTTGGAACAAATCAAAATTGCATTATTTTCATAAATGGTCGCTATGGTTTTTCATATTCTGAATTTAGGTACCTAGCTTTTTTTTTTTGTTTCATGAAATATTGTTATGGTTGTGGTTTCAATTTCTATCGTATTTAGTATAAAATGACTTCTTTATACTTTTTTATATTTTGTAAGTTTTTTTTAAAGTAAATTACAAAAATAACCCTTATGGTTTGATTAGATTCAGACTTTTGATCCAACTTTTGAAAATTGTCAAATGGCTCATCTTGAATCTTCTGTGAGAAAATTGGAATCTCAAGGAAAACTATGATAAAAATCGAGCAAAATCCGAAGCACAATTTGCTCGCCATTACCGTGAGAAATGTGAAAGAATATGAGGCCCCAAGCAAACCCGAGGAAAAAGAAGAATAGATAATGTTTGAAAAAGAATAAACCGAGATAGTGAAGGAAACTCCAAAGTCAGCAAATACGATTCAAAGAGAGATAAAAATCATTCCACAGTTTCCATCAAGACTAAGGACACAAAATGTGAGAGAAGATCAAAATATCATGGGCAACTTTAGAAAGGTTAATGTAAATGTCCATGTAATTTATTAATTAAACAAGTTCCACATAATGAAAGTTTTCTTAAGTAACTTGTACATCAAATAAAGAGTTAAAGGATAATGACACCATAAAAGTTAGCAAAAACATTTTAGCAAATTTAGAAAAAGGATTGCCTCAAAGTGTAGGATGTTGGTGTCTTCATGATTCTTTGAAAATAGAGAAACCTTGATTTTTAAAAACATTAAATTTGGGACACTTAAAGAAAACCGGGATAACCTTAGAGTTGGTTGATCATTCGACAATATTCTCAAAAGGTCTATTGGATGACGTTATAATCTAAGTGGATGAGTTGATTTATCCTGTCGAATTTCATTTTTTTTAGATATCGGAAATCATGATGACACATCAAACAAAAATTCAATCATATTAGGAATGTCCTTTTTAGAAAACGCAAAAGCTAAAATTTTCCATGAAAATTGAAGATGAAGTGATTAATTTTAATATACATGATACTTTACGATATCCGACTAACATATCCTATGTAAAGTGTTTTGAGGCCATCGAACATCTAACTAGAATTGCTTTGAATTGTCTAACCCCCATTTGCAAGCTTTAGTTTTATACAGAAGTTTAAGTGATGACTTAACAAAATAACTTACTAAAAAGTTCAAGCTCGGAGAGGAGTTGATGGAAGTTGAAAATTTCAAGCATGCACAAAAAAGAACAAGATACAAAACACTAAAATAAGAATCGTGTGATATAAATCCAAAGCTTTTTCATCCTACTATAAGTGTACCAAAACTAAAAACGGTGATACATTATGAAGGACTCGGAGTGAAAGATAAAGGAGTTCAGATTATGGAGTGACCAACCTACACCACTTCAAATTCTAAAAGTGAAAAGTTGAGCCAACGACTTTAAAATATTACGTTTATTGGGAAGCAACCCCACTAATATTTACTTTTTTGTGTTTGCTTCAATAGAAATGAATTATTTATACTCCAAGTATTTTCCGAATGTTTTTCCTTCAGACATGAGAAAGGTTTGAAAGGAAGAAGACTTATCATAGCACATAACAAGAAAGTTCTCTTTCAAATAAGGTTCAATCTTTCCAACTTGTAGTTTTTATTTAAGTCCACCTGTATTTCCAAAATATACAATTGTCTCACCTTCTCCCAAACATCAATGACGATTCTTATTTTTAAGTTTGGAAGGGTATATAAGTCATACATCATTTTATTTTAGTTTAATTTCGTTTAGTTTTTTTCAAAGACAATTTACTTAAAAATCACAAAAACATTTTCCATTTTTGCAATTGTCTTTTACTTCTTGCATTGACTTTACAATAAGAAAATCGAAAAAAGGAAAATGACCCAACAAACCAATAATGTATTTTGACTTTACCTTTTCAGTCACTAAACTTTTTTTCTTACCTTTTAAGGGAACAAAATGTGTTAAGATCCATTCATTTAGTTCCTTTAACTTATTTTAACCGGTTACAAACATCATGTAGCAAAATTAAGCCAACTATGTTATAACATGGAGGAAACGATGACATTTTGGACATGATGCAACATAAACCAGTACAAAATTGACGTTGACCACAGGACGTCGGTTAGAGTATAACCCATAGGGAGCAAGTTTCGACTCTTCATTACCCGAAGTGGTTATAAAAAGGATATTGGTGCCCTAAAACGATCACAACCAGTAACTTTGTTGGCCTAAATTCGCAAACCAAATGGTACCCCAAATAAGCCAAAAACGCCTTCTGTTACATCGCCGCGCAACAACTTGTCTTTCGAAGACCAACATTACTTTCCAGCCAACGGCTCTATTGTAGGCAAGCCACAGGACATCCAGATCACTTTTCTACAACTTCAACTTGAGGTGTTACTCATCAGGGAGGAAGTGAATACAGACCAGCATGAGCTCAAGGAAAGTCTGCATCGGGAGATGGATGCCATGAGTCGGGAGGTCGACGATGTAAGGGCAGGTGTGTTGGAGATGTCCTATTTGACGGATGACTTGAGGATCCATTTTTATTCCTTCTATCCAGCGTATATTACGGCACCGACTAACATTGCTAAGATGAAGAAGATACTTGCTGTTACAAGTGTATTCTGAGTGGTCGTTATTGCGGGAGTGTTGGCAGCTTACAAGTGGTTATGATGATGGGTCGTTGCTTTGCTTTGTTTGGATTTTCATTTGTGGGTGTTAACTGTTAAGTGATATTGTTTTGGTTGAAGTCAGTAGTATAGTTATGGCTTTCTGCTTTTGGTATGGTAGATATTGTTTTGTTTGTGGATGACAAATATGGAAGCCACTCTTTTGGTTGTCAATGATATTATGCATAAAACCCAAATGAATGCAAATGACTATTATGACATTATAAATATTGTGTCTTTATTTTGGTATATGTCAACGCATGTTGTAGGACCCAAAGCTTGAACTTGTTCTATTTTCATATTTAGGACCACATGCTTTATAGGAAAATGTTTGTTTTGTATACTTACATGTTGTAAACATATAATCAAAAAAGGTTTTTGTTTTATATGCCACATTGGATATGAGGCCCCTCAATCCCCACAGATTACATATACAATTTACTGAATAAAGTAAGCACATATATATAGATAAAAAGTTACCAATTTTGACAACTTCGGTAAGGACAAATATTAAAAAAAAACGCATGGGCAAAAACTATGACTTGCACTTATTCTTGATTGGTAAATGAAGGGCTCATTATGGAAACTATTTAAACCAACGTATAAAAATAACAAATAAAATGCAATACAAATTACATAAACATTTAAAAACCAATTCAAAGTACATAAACATTTAAACACCAATTCAAAGTACATAAATACCCTTGTGTACACAATATTACATTAAAAGCAAAGGAAATTATCTAATTACCCCTCCACAATAAACTATCACCACACTACTCCAAATCCATTGGCTTTGATGCACTACTACCTTCACCTTCAATTTTGTTTCTCAACTTTCATTTAAGGATACTTTCATATTTTTTCCTCGTCGTAGGCTGTTCGACTTTACCAAAATGCAATTGCTGCTTATTAACCATGTTATCTTGACCACTAGCATCAGCCATTTCAATATCTTCCCTATCAGCATCACCCGTTGCAACATCTTCCCCACCCCTCACCATTTTCACTGACTCTTGTGTTTGTCTCACACTTTCTGGTTTCCTACCATTAGTCTTAGGAGGCCTTTAAACTTGAGTACAAGTGGACTTAGTGTGTCCTTTCTTTTTTACATACACCAAAACATATAGATTTCCTAGCCATTAATATTGTGTGTCAGCTAGGCCTTTCTGGACCATGTCTTTTTGTCTTCATAGTAGGTATGCCGGACATTCTTCTTTTAATTGGGGGCAAAGGGGGGACTTTGTTTGTAGATGGACACATGCTCATGCCGTTCATCCCATGTATAAGCTCTTTGTAAGTATTATGGTATAATGTTGCAAAGTACATTCGATCCATATATGCCTAATAATGTGTAGTATTTGAGCATGATAATGTTGCAACTAAGTGCACACAACCGTATCCATTCAATTGCCACAACATGCATGTACATTCCCTCTTCTGGACATCAACAACATAAGACTGATCCATGTTTCTTGTTTAAACTTCATAACCCCACAGGATATAACTTGCCAATACCTAAATTTAGAAAAAATAGTTAACTATAATTATAAGTTGTGAAATATTTCATTCAATAGTAAATTTAGTGACATACCTTTGCATCATTTTAAAAAAAATCAACTTGTCCCTGATATCAGGGCATATATGTAAATGATCCCATACTTGACCCTTAACTTGTATTTTTACCATCCTTTGCATGACATAAATACTAATATCCTCAAACATACTAATAATAGGTTTCTTCCTAGCATCCATTATAACAATGTTGAAGCTTTCGGAGTATCCATTCTCCACAGATTCACAATATTGGTGAGCTTTGAAGAAAGCCAAAGACCATGTCCTAGGATCCCTCTCCATAAGATGCACAAAGGCAGCATAATTTAGCTGTTGAATCTCCTTCATGGCTGCATTGAAATGTTCTTAAGTAGTTTCTTTACTGGCCCTCTGGAAAATATTTTCAAATTGTGCTCCAGGAAATTTCTTTCTAAACTTAGCATATATATATATATATATATATATATATATATATATATATATATATATATATATATATATATATATATATATATGCGCCTTGCACACTATCTATGTCTTTCTTTTAGAATTACCTCTTTCACTGCCTCAATCAATCCCTAAATAAGTATCAATGATATAAGAATTTAGAATAACATACCATATATTGTCCTTATATTGTACCAAATTAAAAAAAGTAGCATATCTTATGTTGATCCGATATTAGTACAACCCCAAATCCTCCATCTTGTAGGTTCAAGTCTTTTGTAAGATTATCAATAAATCACTTCCAAATTCTTTGTTCTCTACACATACAACAAACCAAGCAATTAGAAATATGTCATTGTTAGCATCCCTACCAATAGCACAAAGTAACTCATCTTGGCAATAACTTTTCAGAAAACAACCATCAAGGTTAATTATCCTTCTATACGCACCCTTCCAACCTTGTTTCCCTCCCTGAAAACATATGTATATCCTACTGAAGTAGTTTTTTCCATCAGGCATTGAATTAACAGATATTTTTATAGTTAAACCTGGATTTGATCTTTTAATCTCCTCACCATATGACCATAACTTAGCATAGTTGTTTACAAGTGTACCTTCAACAAGAGTAAAAGCAATTTTCTTGGATCTCCCACATTGAATCATACTCACTTCAATCCCAAATGTGTTTTTGACTTCCTCTCTAAGCATCTTAACACTCATCTTCTAATTGTTTACAAATTCTTGGGTGAAATGGCTTCTTATCCATCTGTAAATGACAATTGACCCAAATGTGAAATTTCTAGAATAATTATGATCAATTATCAGAGACTTTATCTGGAAAGACTTATCATCACTCATCCATAACCCCTAAAGCCTAAAAGTACAACTTCCATCATAACATTTAACTAACAACCTTCTAATATCATTTTTCTTAAAACATAGCTGATAACCATTAGCAACTGCATAATTATATAACATATGTTTGAGTTGTTTAGGATTTTCAAACCTCATACCTTAACACATGTTGTTGCTCTTTCCAAGGTTTCTTTTCATTGCATATATTTGGCAAATTAGTATCAACATCATCCTCATCATCCTCATTCTCCCCCATGTCATCATTAACAGGTTCACATTCACCTACATTGTCACGCATGTCACACTCTGCCTCATTATCATTTTGGAGAAAATAAGGGTTGCCATTATCATCTGTATGGCCTGTCTCATCTGTTTCACCATCATCATGGGCATCATCAACATCATCTTCATAATTAGTATCAACATCCTATCTTTCTTCATCCAAACACTCGTTCACGTTAATAGTACCAAAATGGTCTACATACAGTAGGAGTATGACATGACATTCATATGCAATGGCTATAAAAGTGGAATAATCTAATTCATTCCTAATTAACCTCAAACCTTTTGGAAAATCGATATTAGGAAGACAATAGCACATTTTTCTCCTATGAATCTTTCCATAAATGAGTAGCAATCATTCTTGTCCATGCTTGCAAAATCATTGTTCTCTAGTCTCTGCATAGTACCATCATTGTATGGTATGGGGTGCCTTTCAAATATTCCTTGAAAATGCACATCGACAGCAATGTAAATAGCCACAGTTGAAACAAGATATTGGATGATAGGAAATAATGGATGCAGTCGATAGAAAGATTTGATGAAGACGGAAAAAGTGGGAGAACTATTGTCAGTACCTCATTAAAAACCCTAACTAAACACAGTCAACTGTAACACGTGAAAATTTTAAATGATGTGGCAAGGATGTTACCAGATTGCCCCTTCAATTCTTTCACAAGGACCAAATCGACCCGATAATAAATATTTTGTTCCCTTAAAAGGCAAGAAAAAAAGTTTAGTGATTGAAAGGGTAAAGTTAAAATACATTATAGGGGCGTTGCGTCATTTTCCAATAAACAAATCCCAAAACTATTTTATTTTTCTTCATTTCAAAGTATTTTTGCAATTTAAAAATAGAAAAGCTTTATGAGATGATGAAATTCCTTACTTCAGAAACATGCTTCATAAAAGTGGAAAATGATAGGGATCGGAAATCACAATCTTAGCACAACCAAATATATAATTATTTCACCAAAACTAGACAATGGTTGAGATGTTTGTGGGATACGAGCCAATGATAGAGTCGAATAAATATTATATTGAAGATATTATGCCATGGAAGATAATAGAGCATCCAAAAATCATGTCTGATGAAGAACGAAGTAATGTCCAGTTGAAATTAGCCTCTAATCTACCGCATTGGTTAATGAGGAATGTTTTGAATTCATTACCAAAATATTTTCCTTAGTAATTGCTTCTCACATCCTTACATTATGTGTTGTGTGTATATATATATATATATATATATATATATATATATATATATATATATATATATATATATATATATATATATATATATATATATATATATAGAGAGAGAGAGAGAGAGGGAGAGAGGGGAGAGAGAGAGAGAGAGTTAAGATCAAATGTGAATTACAATTATTGTATGAATGTATGGCTACTTCTTATGCATTGGATTAAATAAATTGAAGCGTCGTAATCTTAGGTTACATGATACTAACATGGGATTGCATGTACTACATAATTATTCTTTATTAAATGATATTTAATTAAGATCGAAAAATTGAAAATACTATACTTTAGGTCACTAATTCAAATTAAGTAATAAAAAATCAAACAATGAAATATTCAAATTAACATTTAAAAAAAAATAAATCAGTTATCAAAAAACCACCAATTAAATGTATATGTTCCTCAAAACTTTATACAACATGTTATGATAAATATTCTTAAGAATATGAGATTTATGTGTATATGATATGGACATTCTTGAGAATCATAGATGAGTGAGTTTGGAAAGAATATGCATTCTATAAGAAAGAGAGAGATATATTCTCTTAGAATACATATTATCTAAGAGTACATATATCCTTATGTAAAAATATGTATTATCTGAGAATAAGTGAAAGTTTGTGATTTTTTAATCAAATTTGATTCTTATTTTGAATTTTAAATAAATTAAAAGTGAAAAAAATTAACATGTTCATTATAAAGATGATAAAATTTCACAAAACACATTACATTTTATGAGAATATGCGTATCACATAATCTGATTCTTCATAAATTAAATTTATTTACAATAATGCTAAATATTCCTATTTATTCTTTAAAAATTAGCAAACCTTTTTGAAAGAAAAATCAGTGATCCTGTGAGAATAGAAAAAATAAGGTATATTCTTGAAGGATAATAGAAATTCCTCAAAGAAATAACAATACATTGTTGAAAGAATGAACAAAAAAACATCAAAGAAATAAGTTATACATTCTACAGAGAATAACAAAACATTCTTGAAGGATAGAAAACATAATTAATTAAACCACGTTCAAAAGTATAAACCTTAATAATGAAAACAAGGAATAAACATGTGATTCCAGTTGACACAATATCATTTTTTTTTTTTTGTTGTTGTTGTTGTTATTGTTGTTGTTGTTGTTGTTTCTTCTCTCTGTTATCCTAATAACGAGTTAAAGAATCTAGGAAGTAGTAGAAGATGTGTGATTTTCTTTCTTTACTTTCCTTAAAGGAACCAATAGGGGGGATTCGGGTTTTATACTTTTATCAGTGGTGACGGTTTTCAAAGGTTACAAAAGTAAAATCCTCCTTCAAATCCAGTCCCACCATTTAGTGTTTGCTTTAATACAACCTGAAAATGGAATTTTATTAACTACCCTATATTCCATAAGGTTGGTCTCTTTGAAAGGGTAAAATTCAAACAAATTGGTAGATTACATAATGTAAATCATCGACTAATAGAACGTGGACTCAAGGTAGAACAAAAATTACAAGAAAGTGGACTCGCATTAGGAGAAGATTACAACTTCCTCTTGTGCCTGTCCATTAACAATAGTTGAAGACAATATACTCGTACATATAAACTACATAAAAATTCCAACACGAAGTTTGAATAAAATCCATTGATTTAAAAAAGATCTTATTGCGGGTCAAAGAAATTACCATTCTACACCTTCTCAATCTCTAGATACGTTATGTCATGTTGGAAGTACAAATACATTGAGCATATTAGGGAAAAAAATCGAACTAATAAAATGTTATGAAAAAAACACATCGTTTTTCTAAAAATTAAAATGTTCCAAAAAGAACATAAGACCATCATATTAATTTTGGAGCAAAATCTACACCACAAAAAGAAAAATCTATCGAATAAAATAACATCAGAAATTGTTAGTCGACATTAAGGAAAATCAACGACAAAATAAAAGGTAAAAATGACTTCCAAATCACCACATTTTTGTATCACCTATAACGTTGTAATTTATGACTTCAAACACTTGGCAAGGCTCCTAGATTTATGTTATTTGAATCATTTTTCTTTCAAAAGGTGAAGTGAAAGATGATAGAAAAATTTAGGTTTTAGGGATTTTATGTGGAACAATAGAAAAAAACTCGGTCTTTGATCAACTGTATTACATATTCATCATAGATGAAGAAGAGAGAAAGAAAGAATATGATCAAAAGTTTACGTAAAAACTTACTAGGAAGGTGGTCCCCAGAACAAAAGGTGCTGATGGCGAATCTTCGTGGTTGAGAAGATGGCATTTAGGAGGTGGCATACGATGGTGATACTTGACCTGGTTGTGCATGGTCCTTTTGGGTTGCCTTCACCAAAGCAACTTGAATAGAGAAATAAATAGAGAAAGAGGTTATTATGATTTATTAATATATTATAAGAATAATATATTAAAGGAGAAATCATATTTGTTTAATTAATATTGGTCAATAATTAATTAGTAATTAATTTTGTGATCAAGTGTAATTAATTAAACTAGAGGGGCTGAATTGTAATTATGTGATAGTTACAAAATAGAGCAATGGTTATCCTTGTAGAAGGATGGACGAATTCAAGGGATTGGATATCCTTGAAATCGTCCATATGGTCTAAGAGATAAGGGTTATCAAGGCTTATCTTGTGATTGCTTGGTGGGCAAGCAATTAGATAAGGATAAGGACTAAAACCCTAATATCAACCCTATATAAAGACCCCTAGGCTTTAAGAAATCATCCCATTTGCTTCTAAGAGATCCCTAGGCCGATTTCTACCTCCTCCCTTCTCTCTCTATAGCCTCTGCAATTGCTTGTGGTGTTTGTGAGCCATTAGAGGCACTACGCTTGTGGTGTTTGGTTTCAAGACTTAGGGTTTGAAGATTTAAGTTGTTATTGCTATATAACAACAAGAGGTATGTGATCTAACCTTATATATGAATTTCGAAAATAGCAAGCTTAGGGTTTTATTCATGTGTTCATAATGTTGTGTATCTAATAGTAAAAACATAGATCCAAATCTAGGGTTGCATGCACACATAGGATTGTTTGTATAAAACTCATCAGGTGTATCAGAGCCTTTGGTTAACTTGTTTTCAATTAGTATTATTCAATTGTATGAACTTGACAAATTAGGGTTTATAGCCAATAAACCTTAGGAGGCAAGAAATTTTGAGATTAGGGTTTCCTAACCCTAATTTGCGAAAATTATAAAGAATTTTTGAATCCTTTCATTTAATCCAAGATTTCGAAATCTAGGGTTTGCAAACCCTAAGATTTCGAGATTAGCCTCCTTCCCTAAGATAAGATCCTAAACTTTAGGGATTTGGATAATCTCATATCTTGTAATTATCTTTTAATAGTTAAATATGGTAATTAAAGATTTTTAATTATCCCCTCCCATTATTTTCGAGATTTAGAGGGATAAAAGGGATTAGGATAAGTTAATTGTTTAGATGGTAATTATCCTTTAAGATTTAATAAATCCTTATGATTTAATAATTTTAATTAATAGTTTAATTTAAGATAATTATTAAATCAATAATTTTAATATTTAAAATTTTAATTTAAATGGTATTAAATTCGAAAACTTTAAATTAAAGATTAAAACCCTAGTATTTTGAAATGCTTAAAATACATCATATACTATTATATTATTACAAGCTTAATATATATATATATATATATATATATATATATATATATATATATATATATATGTATATATGTATGTATGTATAATTAAAATGCTAGTCTTACCATCAATAGGCCTCATTCACGAAGTCGATCTATAAGGTTGGTATAAGGTTGCTGCATATAAAATGGCGCTTAATGGGTGTACAATCACACCCACCGCTTGCTTGACTGGTGGAGGGTCGTTAGCCAAACGGGTAGGACAGGGCAATCATCTCTCCATTAATAAGTATAATGAATCTATATAAAGTAACTAAACGTTTTTACAAATTCACAATCTTAGTTACTTTAGGCAAAAGTGAAATTGATGCAATCCCATGAAATTACACTTTGCACCCTTACTGAGAAGTTATTGGAGCGTGTATGGTTTACCGGTGCACTA